TTGAGCACAGGCTATCGGATAAACTCGTTCACTAATGTCGGGTACTCTGAAGTCACTGCAAGTTGGTTGAGCAGTGGAAGTGCCCTTCTCATTGAATAGAAAAAGCTCGTTCCGCATGCTCACCTTACCTCTTCACTGACAGAATCAGTACGGCAATTGATTTCAGGATGTCCTGGGTGATTGGGCTCTTCACCGTATTTACTGTCTACCATGTCAACAGTGGCGGGCTGCCACCTCCAGACGTTCTGTCGAACATTCCCAGGCAAAATTCTACGGAGTTTGGAAGCGATGGAACAACAATGAATACTACCATTGCATCAGGGTTGTCATCCTACCCTACTACTGTAAGGTACGATGATTATGCTGACAAAGAGGAGTCTGTGTTGGGTACGAAAGTCATCACTGAAGTGGTTGTTCAGGTAGGAATTGTGGATGGCCATAGTTCAGGTACTGTAATTATCAATTTCATATTTACAGGCATTGAACTGGCTCGTAACCGCTTTCATTGGACTCATAGCCAACTCAGTGGAACGAACGAATTCCACGGAACCGTACGAAGAAGGCGAAGTCGAATGGAAGCCCTACTGAAGACATTCTCTCGTTCAGTGCCACTCTTCTTCGTTTATTATGTCGTATATGTACAGATAGAGTCGAGAATAAATGTCAGAAGCTTCTTTGGTCGATCAATCGAAAGCCACTTATTGGCTGCTCCAGAGGCAGATAACCAGGATGGGTGCGTGAAGACTCGGGTAATATTCTATTGAAACAATAAAGACAGCGGTGGTTCAGTATATTTATTGAGAAGGGAGAGCGAGATATGAGCGTGGGCGGATTGACCTTTCACGCTGAGCAAAAGCAAGTATAATACAAGTCGAAGAGTGGAAGCTACAAGTCACAGTGAACCCAAGTCACAGAGTCACAGCGTAGAGCGCCATTGAACATTTGTCTGCTCCCTCTGTCTGATAGATTTTTAGATGGTAGAACAGCGAGCGATACGGTACCAATTCTGTCCGATGGCCGGCGGGCACTTCGGCACTCCCTCCGAGGGAGGGGTGTGGGTTCGGCCCGAATGAGCCGAAGTGCCCGCCGGTCATCGGACCGGAAATCCGGGCTCGCTGTAGCAACCCACAGCCTTTAGCATTTTTATTTGGTCGGAGATCCTGGATCTTCCATGCGTGATTGGAGCGTAGCGGATAAGGTTCCGGGCCTATGTCTGGGATGTCAAGGGTTCAGATCCTGCAAGTGCTCGTGTGTTTGGGACTTCCTGTTTTTTTCGGAATTTGTGACATACACTTGTCTGAGGGGAATTGTAAGTAAAAGCGGACACAGAGAGATGTCCTCGGTCGGAGTAATTTTCCTCTAGAGAGAGATTGGGATTGAGATGGTGATCCCACGAGGTCTCCGGACATTTATCGCTATACAAACCTTCTCTTGGTCAAGAGCGCCAGTAATAAACATTTGTCTACTTCCTGTGGCTGATAGTTTTCTAAGTGACCAATCTACAGCATTTTTTGCAACTTTAAGCTTCTTCCCCTCTACCTGTTTTCAAATGTGCTATAAAGGTCTGAACAAGAAAGCCGTCCCTTAACATTATAGCCTCTAACGTCAAAAATGGAGCGATCTGATAGCAGCTGAGATGAGAGCCGGTGGGTTAAGCATCGGGTCAGAAAATTGGTTGCCACCAGAGAAATACTATTTACTCGCAGGAAGGAGAACTAAGTGAAAGTCAAAAGCACCCCAGAAAAATTGAAAGAGTAGACCTTCCGATTTTTGCGTACTATGAGAGAAATTGACCTTTTCTGTTAGGTTAGGTGGGAGCAGCAGCAGCAAGCTGGGAAGTCATGAAATGCTCAAGTTAAATGGCTGATGTAA